AGGAAGTATTTATGGTTCGAATGGGTGGACGCTCCAGGGATTTTCCTTCCCTTCCCAGCCCACCCAATTTTTCCCCTTGTTCTCTCAGTGTGTGTGTGTGTGTGTGTGTGTTTGCCCAAATCGTTGAGCACAGAACAAATTCGCAGAAATTAAGAAACAAATCGAAAATCAAGCAGCTCGCACAGAGAAAATCAGCGAGGGCCAGGGCGAAGGGTGGGTGAAAATTGAGAAAAGCGTCAAGTGAAGGAAAATTGTATAGAGCTTGTTTGCTCAGCCCTCGCCCCCGGGACTGGCATTTCCTTCTTTTTTGTATGCATTTTTATGGCACATTTTCAAATAAATTTGCCAAGAGATTAATTCGGACCGTTTGGTAGCGTGTAAATAAAATTTTCATGAACTTCTGCCATGGGTGTTTCTCGTAGTTTTTCTCCCCAGATTTTCCAGTCCAGCTGCCTGGCTCTTGGTCTGGCTTTTCACTTTTCCAAGAGCCGGGCAGAGACGGGGGTTTCGCTAGATTTGGCAATGTGTTAAATGTTGTTGAAATTTCTCAGCTGGCTGTCGCTGGAGTCGTGCTTGGCTTTTCGAGTACCAATCCATGGGATTGCCAGTTGCCTAATTAAGATGTCAAGGTTATTGTGGATAGAAGTGCTCCTCCTGAAGTGGCTACATTTATAATTTCGATGGCAAAACAGTTTTAATTAGGGAAACATCATTATTTTGAGTAACTTTTGAGAATTCAGTACGTTTTGTTTAATGAATTTAAGAGCAAATGTTATTCCAAATAAATAAAAGTAGAAAATTTAATTACATTCTATTTGTTAATATTCTCGTTTTCGCTTCTATATAGATTAGTAAAAATGAGATTGCTGATTATACAACAGTGTTGTTTAATTATCTAAAAATATCACACTTAAATTTGCAAAGCCCTCTCCAATATCTAAATGAGCCATGGTCCATTACTTATTCTCATTATATTTCACAAAAGTTATCCTTTTCATGTGCAAATTTCCATCACAAACCACAAACAGATAGCACGAAATACTCCCCCCGATAAATCCGGGCACGCTCCCCATCAGGTTCATTATCTTTTAATGCGCCAATGTATTCAGATAAACACAATTCGAAATTCACGCAAAAATAATGCGTCAAAATTATGAATTCAACGTTTGCCAAATCAATGAAAATTAATTTCATAAACGGAAAACAACTTCGCGAAATGGAGGGAGGAGGAACGCAAACAACAAACAATAATTGGTGCCGGAGTCTGAGGATAATGGTGAGGATTTTTGGCACAGGGTGACTTTCGGGGGGTATTTTAAGTGATGGTTGGTTCCCATGGCCCAAAAATGGAATTACATTTTCATTATTTCGATTTTGCAATCGGGTCTGGCTGGTGCCCTGTTCTGCTGGTGATAAAACGAAAGCTCTCCCACTGTGTATGTGTACATTGTGAACAATTATAAATGCACATCAATTTATGTTGTTTTAGAGGACATGGACTGTGAGAACAGTGTCACTGGAAGGTATTTAAACTATATATGATGTATTTCTGTTGATATGTTATAAAATATAATGAAGTTTCCTTGTCCATTATCTGAAGTTCCTTGCTTTCTTTTCAATCAAAGATTTTTTGGCGAAATGAGTGAGTTCTATAGATTAAAGGGTTCAAACAAACTCACAAATTGTCATAAATTTCATGCTTATCAATATCCTTTTATTAAGGCAATGCCTTACATTAGTATCTTTCTGCTTTTGTTGCAGTGCACACACACATGAATGTGAGGTAAATAAACCGAGGAAAGCCAATGAAATTTCATGCAAATCAAATGAGTTTTAAATTTTTGAAAGCGCCGCCCTTCAGCAGCCGCCCGGCAAAACTATGGAAAACCCGGCTGGCGAGCAAATAAACAGGCCAACCCGTCCACAGAGTCAAACAAATAGACAAGCGAATAGGCAAACAAATAAACGGACACATTTACAACTGCATTCCGGCACTCATTCGAAGGCGGCGGTACAGTCCCCATTGGGTTGCACTTTGCGCATAATTATTTTTGCATATTTTACAGTCACTGCCGCCGACATCGTCCCCTTCGAACTAACAAGGAGCCCGGGCAGCGAAAGATAAAAATTGAGTTTGAATTATGGCAATAAATAAACAGGACAAGGGCAGCCAGCGAGCTGGGGATGGTATTGGGTGTCGTTGAAGGCTGGTGTTTTGACCAGAGGCGTAGTTGAAAGAAGGGGAAATTATAATTTTCAAGGAGAATGTCTGAAAGCCAATGCTCTCCTTAACTTATATCTTAAATATATTCCAAAGATAGAGCTCATGAGCCTAGTATATTATTGTATTAATCAAATGATCAAACTTGATTTAACTATTAAAAGAATAAAAAACAATTTGCCTAGAGCCCCTTACAATATTCTGGAGCCCGCCCCTGGCTTGATAGTAATTTATGTCAATTTCTTCCTTGTGGGTGGCCTGTGTTTGACCGCACTCGGACCCATGTATATATTGATGTTCTCTAATTGAGCAACAGCATCGTTGGTGGTCGCCGCCAATGCTTGTATTAATTAGCCGGGATGTCCGCGTTGTAGTGGCCATATATTTACGTAGATGTAGAATCATAGATAATGTAATACGATTATGTCTAGCCACCACAAGAGCTCCTTATACCGGGCACTTAAAATTGCCAAAACTCCAGACGCGACGCAAGTAAACTTTACTACATTGACTCCCATGCATGCACATTTAATGCACTTCCGCCAGACATTTCCCGGGAAAGCCAAACTGCATATAAATGCAAATCATGTAAGAGGGCGAGTGGGGTAGCGGGGCAAACTTCCAAAGTTCAAGCTCCATTTTTTTTTTCTCGTGTTTACCTTATTGAACTGGCTGAGATTTATGAGTACTCGCAGCTACTCAATTTCTGTGCAAAACCAATGGCTGAAACGAAATGGAAATTTATGTGCAGTGAAGGAACCCCGGCGTAACCCACGAAGCCACTTTCACCGCGTAAACCGTAAAGTTTTGTGCCGTAAAATCGCAAAAACAAGCAGCGGAGAAATACGAATTTATAAACCGATGAGGCAGCGGAATAAAATAAAATACAGTTCAGGTGCGAGGAGCCGCGGGATTCTGGGCAGGTGGCTTGCAGTCTGCAGTGTGCATTTGCATTTCTTTCGACGCCATGTTGTTGCTTTTGCAAAATGGCGTTTGCGGCGCGCCAACAAAATGGCGGAGGCGTCAACGGAAGTTGCTTTTCGCCACACACCCCCCCCCACACACACACACAACGGCGCAGTTGTACGGCAAATAAATTGCAAGTTATTTGAGCAGAAGTACCCGTACCTTCGGAGACCGCAGTGAAGACGTCCTCGTAGGAGTCGTAACCAGGAATGCCGAACAAACGTGAACTGCATTCGCCCCACACTCATACACACCACACGGTCGTCTCCTGCGGCGCTGCAGTGCAAAATTTATGGCAACATTTATGTGTCGTGTCGCGTGCGCGGTAAATACCGGAAATGCCGGAAAGAAGTGCATAATAAATGACGTTATTAACCCACATGCACACACATCCATTCGAGAGTGGAGCAGGACATGTCAGGACATAAAGACGGCCAGGCAGACAGTTGGTTGGCCAGAACAAAGCCCCCGCCATAAACTAGCTCTTCATCCAGCGAACGATAGTGCCGCATACTTCGACCTAATGTGCTCCACTCATCAATGCACTGCGGACTCTAAAAATACTGGTCTAAAAGGTAGTAAATATTTGCAGTTGGTAGTAAGTACAACGAACGGTTTTTCGATGAAAAACGGAAAGATTTCGTTTAGTTTACGTTTGAATTTTTTGGGGCAATGAAGCTTAGAAGTAAATTTAGTTTCATGCAATTTTTTAGAACATTAATATTTCAATTAATTTCAAGAGAATATTTTTAATTTTTGTGCTATAAATTGCCAGCAATTTTGGCTACTGATTGCTGAAAATATTTGCTTCTGTCTGGTTGGCTTTTTCGGCTTGTACGTTGCTCCCAGCACTATAAGAAATGTGTTTAAAATGTTTAAGAGATTATTTAGAAAAAGATGCCCTAAACTTGATGATATCTGACCTTTAGCGAAAATAGTTATTAACTTTCAGGATTTATTACGTGACCTTGAAAATATATTGTTTTTTTATCCCGAATAATATATGCAAACGGATGATCTGCTCTGAATTCCATGCCAAAGTCATCGGACATCCGCGCTGAAGTAACAACCGCTTGAAATTAAGGAAATATATATGATAAAAAAAAAATCTTATGGAAAAATCATACCCTTACCTGTGACAGCCGCTGCCTCTGCGCCCTCTTCATTGACCTCAACGAAGGCTTTTTGTAAGACTTTATCGATATAGATTTCTGATTTTTGCACAAGGCCTTCAAAGTTTGCACTGTCACTGAACGCCTTTCGAATGCCCAACTGTAGGTAAGGAAACAATAGCATAAGCTCCTGAAAATCACATTCAAGATGTACTTACCCTTTCAAGATAACCAGTTTAGTTCCTCTTTAAACTCGATTTTGAACTTTGGAAGCTCAAGATCCACAATCGTTTTGGACAATGGTCTAGAAAACCCAATTATCTTGTCCTCCAATTCGCTGAGCCCATCCACCTTGTTGGGCAGAAAGATGAGCATCGACAGACTGGAGTTTCGATATGGCAATTCGATTACTTTGGCATCCAAGTCATACAAATAATCTGCTTTAAATGTACCACGCATGGTCATCATTGTTACAGGTATGCGTTCCGTCTCAGAAATTTGAAAATCTTTTTGTTCGCTTAACTCTTTGTTAAACTTGTACTTCCATTGCCCTTTGAAATTAATGGCATTCAGGAGCAAAGCCCTTAAATCAGGGCTCATGTCAGCAGGGGTAACCACCTCGTTGATCTTTCCACGTGTCTGATTCGACACCCACTCGTTTACGATGTCAGCTGCATTTTTTGCATTGCTAAGGCTAATGGGCAATAAGATTCTTCTGGGCATTATCCTTGGCTAAGAGTCGATAAAAGTCTTCCGTGAACCGGCCAGCCACTGACGTGGCGAACAAAATGAGACCTGATAAGAAGTTATTGTCTGGAATGACTTGGAATTGGATTTTCTACTCACACAAGTATTTCATTTGAAATTTTGATTGAAACGTTTTGAAGATACATCGGGCAGAACTCTGTATAAATACCCATTGGTGTAATCTAGTTAGATATGGAGATTGAACATGGAACATTTTCCGTAAGAAATCAATTATAGTTTTCTATATCCAAGCTTTTAAACCGAAACGTCGTTGAACTTAAATGTGCAATCGTCTTTTTATCTTACGTCGTTAAGAGTGCAAATTTTGGGCATTTAACAAGTTAAGGAACTGGCCAATTTAATTCCACAGTAACTCCAGTCTGTTACCAGACTCCGGTTGAATTCCAACCGCTTATCGCCGAGCCTCTCTCCACCACGTGTGTCATACAAAAATATCTTTAGACTGATGGCATTTCTAAAGAATTCATTTTTTATTTCATTTTAGGAGAGTATTTTGATTTTGTCTTAGAAATGGCCAGAAATGTCAGCAAATGGCTACTGGTTGTTGAAAATGTTTCCTTCTGCCTTCTTGGCTTGTTCGGGCTTAATCTAAAGGTGGAATTAGTTAATAACACAGGACGGAGAGTTACTCATAAATTTGAAAATGTATTTTATAAGGTTGCTCTTTAATTTTAAGAAATGTATTTAAAAGGCTTTAAAGATTAATTAGAGAATGATTGTTGACCCAGACTTGACCAAGGGTGGTCTACTGATGGCTGAAATGGGCCAAAAGTATTCGAAGTATTCGAAAATCATGTCTGAGCTTTAGAGCCAGATAATATCATTCACTTAGGATTTACTACGTGGCCTTGAAAATAGACGGTATTTTCATCCCGAATAATGTATGCAAATGGATGATCGGCTTTGAATTTCATTAATATCTCTTCTGGTCTTGAATTTACCGACAGCGGTATTATAAATTTAACCACTTGCAATTAAAGAAATTTACTTGATAAAAAAACGAAAATTTAACGGAAAATCATACCCTTACCTGTGACAGCCGCTGCCTCTGCGCCCTCTTCATTGACCTCAACGAAGGCTTTTTGTAAGACTTTATCGATATGGATTTGTGATTTTTGCACAAGGCCTTCAAAGTTTGCACTGTCACTGAACGCCTTTCGAATGCCCAACTGTAGGTAAGGAAACAATAGCATACGCTCCTAAAAATCACATTCAAGACATACTCACCCTTTTAAGATAACCATTTAGTTCCTCTTCAAACTCGATTTTGAACTTTGGCAGTTCGACATACACACTCCTTTCGTACAATGGTCTAGAGAATCCTATTATCTTGTCCTCCAATTCGCTGAGCCCATCCACCTTGTTGGGCAGAAAGATGAGCATCGACAGACTGGAGTTTCGATATGGCAATTCGATTACTTTGGCATCCAAGTCATACAAATAATCTGCTTTAAACGTACCACGCATGGTCATCATTGTGACAGGTATACGTTCCGTGTCGGATATTTTAAAATCTTTTTGTTCGCTTAACTCTTTGTTAAATTTGTACTTCCATTGACCTTTGAAATAAATGGCATTCAGGAGCAAAGCCCTTAGATCAGGTCTCATGTCAGCAGGGGTAACCACCTCGTTGATCTTGCCACGTGTCTGATTCGACACCCACTCGTTTACGATGTCAGCAGCATTTTTTGCATTGCTAACACTGATCGGAACAGCTTCGGCCTGAAAGGAGTTTCTCAATACTTCATTATACTCGGGGACCAGACTATATTCGTTATTAATGTATATCCGGTTAGCCAAATCGAGAATCACATCCTTCTCCCGCCCCTGGAGATCGCTAAGGAGTTTTCTGTACTTGCTGGCCACCTGCTTTTTGTCCATCGGTAGTTTCAAAGCGGTTCGTAGTTCGTCAGCGGTCTCCCCTTCAGCTCCCATGTACGCCATGGCCATAGCTATCTCAACGGAGAGCGGAGAGGCAATAAGATTCTTCTGGGCATTATCCTTGGCTAAGAGTCGATAAAAGTCTTCCGTGAACAGGCCAGCCACTGACGTGGCGAACAAAATGAGACCTGATAAGAAGTTATTGTCTGGAATGACTTGGAATTGGATTTTCTACTCACTCAAGTATTTCATTTGAAACTATGATTGAAACGTTTTGAAGATTCATCGGGCGGGACTCTGTATATATACTCATTGGCTTAACCTAGTTAGATATGGAGATTGAACATGACAAAATTTTCCGTAAGAAATCGATTATGATGGTATGTATACCTAAATCTATTATCTAATAGTTCAATTTCAAGCGCCTTGCACCGTTTAATATATAAAAATGCGACGATAACGTATTTTAATGTTTGTTATTGAATTTAAAACCCATAATTTGTAATATACATTCAAATATATTTTCCTTGGAGTTAAAAAAACAATTTTTTAAAAAATCAACTCGGGGACCTATCTAGCTTGCTTTAGAACAGTTTTCTTTTTTATTTTTCAGAAGGGTCTTGAATAAAGTAATCTTTAGAGTTGCCTCTTGGCCAGAAACTTTCCTCACTTTCCCTAGGACCCGGCCCTTCTGTTTGCGGGTTGCCTACAGCGCCGGCAGCTTTAATTAAATTTTTTCAACTTCCGTTTGGAGCTCGGCAAGCAGGTCTCTGGACCGATACGCCCCGCTCTGTGTGGCTTTCACTTTTCATTTCGGCAAGGACTCTGTTCTTTGGCAGCTTTCCCTTCCGCCTCCTTGGAGTGTGACAGGCTTTTCTCCTCTTCTTATTTGTCCCCGCTGCCGGTGGCTGCGTTTTGGAATTTGCCTCAAGTAGAGCATAATGAGCGCCACGCGGCGTATGATTAATATTTTTATCGTCCTTAATTCCCGCTGCATTGTGATTACATATTACACATTATAAGCGACGGCAATCGCTTTAAAATGCAAATCACGTGCCATCGTTGCCAAGCACATATGTCAGCTCCATCCAGCCTCCAAATCCCCTTGCCCGGACACCTTTCCCCCGCCTAATACTGCCGACCGTCTGTTTACTTTTGGGGCGAATTTCGAGCGCAGCTGCCAAATACATTTCAATATTTACGTTATAGCTAGGACCCGCTCCGCCACGGTTCAATATCTATGCAACTCGTCCTGTCTGCGTGTAAAATGTGCAAATTACCTAAAAGAACCGCAGACGAACACAACGAGACCACAAAACAAATTTAAATAGACATATTTTTTCGCCGACCAGCTTCCCAGGCCCCTATTTTCTGCCCTAACCGTCGATATTTCTTTACTGTTTTTACGATTTTTCAGTTGTTGTTTTTTGGTGTCGAATATCCCGGCGTAAAATGTTGGCTGCAGCTGCAAATTGGTGTGGTTTTTTCAAGGGTCTCTCCCGGTCGCCCATTCGCGCGGTTCGTGTTTTATTTGTATTTTTAGCGTTAAAACAAATTGAGGTCCTGCTCCTAAACGGGTCCTGCACAGGATGCCCCATCCATCGACCGTCATCAACGGAGCGGCGAGCATCCATTGTTATGTTTATTGGCGGTGTGCCCTACAACTTTATGGGTTAGATAGATGCATGAGATGCGGATGCAGAAAATGAAATTGATCAGGAAGAGCTGGGAGTGAGTGGAAAATATTATAATTGGATGAAAACGATGAGAGACATTTTTTCCTTATGTATCCTAGAGCTTGTTCTGTCTCTTATTAATTTATGTTTAAAAGCAATTTGAGTAATATATTTAAAAGCATTATTTACATACTTCAGCTGCTACTGTGGCTTTGTAAACTAATCAAATAATACATTTAGAGGTGTTTCACAATTGATTATTATAGATTTATTGTCTTTGCCAAAAATGTACCTTCTCGTTGCTGCTGATATTCTAAACAATCAAAGTGAAACGGAATAGTTGATTTGATATTACTCTATTATTATTATTTTAAACTAATCGGAGGGTTTTAGTCAGTTTATCATAGTATGGCCGAATAAATTTTGTAACAAACGGAATACATTTTCAATTTTCCCTTCCGCTGGAAAAGCCCTCTCTCTCTCTCTCTCTCTCTCTCTCTCTCTCACCCAATTGAATCTTTTTTGTAGCGTGCGCCGGAGTAAATAAAAAATGCAGCTACAACAGGGACAATTCCAGGCTGAAATGCATGGGCTCTGGGTGTTTCCACTTGTAGTTATTGTTTGGTTATTTAAGAGCGATTCAGCCAAGTTTAGATATGTATATATTTGCGTACATATGCATATATGTATGCGTTGATAACAACCATCTAGTGGCCAGTGGCCAGTGGCCAGTAGCCAGCATCCATTCACCCATCCGACTGTGGATAACAATTTCGGTTGATGCCGCCTGATGGACTTTTATTTGTGGCCCGTCCATCACTAAGCCAAGGGAAATTGTTTTGAGTTTTAAATAGAATAAACGTTGACGTATAGATTGTGTAAATGTTCAGTCAACAATAAAATCGGCAGCAGGCAGGGTTTAATTTAACAAAGTGTGGCTCAAAATTATCGCCTGAGTGCACTGGCCAACAAGTTTGAATGTCCGACTACACTATGCGCATATACAGTGGGCCAATCAATTGAGGGGAGAAGCTTAAAGATGCGGCTCTATTGATACTCAAGTCCCTGGTGAACCCGGCTCTCGAGTTCACTTGGCCATTCTGTTAACCAACTTTCGTCTGCATCAACCGCCCCTCGACTGGGCAATGGTCAAGCACTTAACTTCGAGCAGCAGCATGTTGAAAACTTTTGCTTTTCATCAAAAAAGGCTGCTCAATATGCACTTAACCGCAAGCCCGGCCAACTTTGACTAGACTTCGGACAGTTGTAGAGCAGGCTCCGCACTATAAGTTGGCATATAGACGGAATACATATATATTTAAGCCACTGTGACATTTATGATGCGGACATTGCCGAATCTGTGTCAGGGATAACTGCGGGACGGGTTCTCTGCCCCGGACGGTGGCCCTGCTCCAGGTCGTGGTCGTAGTCCTGGACCATCCCGACCATCTCCTTCTCCGGCGAGTCATCATAAATTTATGCACTTTGTGCCGCAGCCCTGCAGTGACCAAAATTACAATTATGACAACCGCAAAAAGGTTTTCTGGTGCACCAACAAAAACGCCCATCCGACGAGCAGGGCTACGGAGACTCGTCCATAAAATGTTTAACATGATTAAACCAACCAGCCAGTCAGCTTTGCTGCAGTGTAAAACAAAGGAGACAGATGAGAAGAAATGGCCAACAATGTTGGCTACTGGTTGTTGAAAATGTTTTCTTCAGTCTGCTTGCCTTTTTCGGGCTTAATCTAAAGTTGGAAAGAGTTAATAACACAGGACGGAGAGTTACTCATAAATTTGAAAATGTATTTTATAAAGGTTGCTCTTTAATTTTTAAGAAATGTATTAAAAAGGCTTTAAAGATTAATTAGAGAATGATTGTTGACCCAGACTTGACCAAGGGTGGTCTACTGATGGCTGAAATGGGCCAAAAGTATTCGAAGTATTCGAAAATCATGTCTGAGCTTTGGAGCCAGATAATATCATTCACTTAGGATTTACTACGTGGCCTTGAAAATAGACGGTATTTTCATCCCGAATAATGTATGCAAATGGATGATCGGCTTTGAATTCAAATAATATCACTTCTGGTCTTAAATTTACGGAATGCCGTTTGAAAATTTCAACCACTTGCAATTAAAGAAATTTACTTGATAAAAAAACGAAAATGTAACGGAAAATCATACCCTTACCTGTGACAGCCGCTGCCTCTGCGCCCTCTTCATTGACCTCAACGAAGGCTTTTTGTAAGACTTTATCGATATGGATTTGTGATTTTTTCACAAGGCCTTCAAAGTTTGCACTGTCACTGAACGCCTTTCGAATGCCCAACTGTAGGTAAAGAAACAATACCATAAGCTCCTGAAAATCACATTCAAGACATACTGACCCTTTTAAGATAACTATTTAATTCCTTTTCAAACTCGATTTTGAACTTTGGCAGTTCGACAAGCACATTCCTCTTGTCCAATGGTCTAGAGAATCCTATTATCTTGTCCTCCAATTCGCTGAGCCTACCCACCTTGTTGGGCAGAAAGATGAGCATCGACAGACTGGAGTTTCGATATGGCAATTCGATCACTTTGGCATCCAAGTCATACAAATAATCTGCTTTTAATGTACCACGCATGGTCATCATTGTTACAGGTATGCGTTCCGTCGCAGAAATTTGAAAATCTTTTTGTTTGCTTAACTCTTTGTTAAATTTGTACTTCCATTCGCCTTTGAAATAAATGGCATTCAGGAGCAAAGCTCTTAGATCAGTGCTCATGTCTTCAGGGGTAACCACCTCGTTGATCTTGCCACGTGTCTGATTCGACACCCACTGGTTTACGATGTCAGCTGCATTTTCAGCATTGCTAAGGCTGATGGGAACAGCTTCGGCCTGAAAGGAGTTTCTCAATACTTCATTATACTCGGGGACCAGACTATATTCGTTATTAATGTATATCCGGTTAGCCAAATCGAGAATCACATCCTTCTCCCGCCCCTGGAGATCGCTAAGGAGTTTTCTGTACTTGCTGGCCACCTGCTTTTTGTCCATCGGTAGTTTCAAAGCGGTTCGTAGTTCGTCAGCGGTCTCCCCTTCAGCTCCCATGTACGCCATGGCCATAGCTATCTCAACGGAGAGCGGAGAGGAAATAAGATTCTTCTGGGCATTATCCTTGGCTAAGAGTCGATAAAAGTCTTCCGTGAACCGGCCAGCCACTGACGTGGCCAACAAAATGAGACCTGATAAAAAGTTATTGTCTGGTATGACTTGGAATTGGATTTCTACTCACACAAGTATTTCATTTGAAACTATGATTGAAACGTTTTGAAGATTCATCGGGCAGAACTCTGTATATATACCCATTGGTTTAACCAAGTTAGATATGGAGATTGGACATAGAACATTTTCCGTAAGAAATCAATTATAGTTTTCTATATCCAAGCTTTTAAACCGAAACGTCGTTGAACTTAAATGTGCAATCGTCTTTTATCTTACGTCGTTAAGAGTACAAATTTTGGGCATTTAACAACTTAAGAAACTGGCCAATTTAATTCCACAGTAACTCCAGTCTGTTACCAGACTCCGGTTGAATTCCAACCGCTTATCGCCGAGCCTCTCTCCACCACGTGTGTCATACAAAAATATCTTTAGACTGATGGCATTTCTAAAGAATTCATTTTTTATTTCATTTTAGGAGAGTATTTTGATTTTGTCTTAGAAATGGCCAGAAATGTTAGCAAATGGCTACTGGTTGTTGAAAATGTTTCCTTCTGCCTTCTTGGCTTTTTCGGGCTTAATCTAAAGTTGGAATGAGTTAATAAAACAGGACGGAGAGTTACTCATAAATTTGAAAATGTATTTTATAAAGGTTGCTCTTTAATTTTTAAGAAATGTATTTAAAAGGCTTTAAAGATTAATTAGAGAATGATTGTTGACCCAGACTTGACCAAGGGTGGTCTACTGATGGCTGAAATGGGCCAAAAGTATTCGAAGTATTCGAAAATCATGTCTGAGCTTTAGAGCCAGATAATATCATTCACTTAGGATTTACTACGTGGCCTTGAAAATAGACGGTATTTTCATCCCGAATAATGTATGCAAATGGATGATCGGCTTTGAATTCCATTAATATCTCTTGTGGTCTTGAATTTGCGGACTGCCATATGAAAAATTCAACCACTTGCAATTAAAGAAAGTTACTTGATAAAAAAACGAAAATTTAACGGAAAATCATACCCTTACCTGTGACAGCCGCTGCCTCTGCGCCCTCTTCATTGACCTCAACGAAGGCTTTTTGTAAGACTTTATCGATATAGATTTCTGATTTTTGCACAAGGCCTTCAAAGTTCGCACCGTTTCCGAATGCCTTTCGAATGCCCAACTGTAGGTAAAGAAATAATACCATAAGCTCCTGAAAATCACATTCAAGACATACTGACCCTTTTAAGATAACTATTTAATTCCTCTTCAAACTCGATTTTGAACTTTGGCAGTTCGACATACACACTCCTTTCGTACAATGGTCTAGAGAATCCTATTATCTTGTCCTCCAATTCGCTGAGCCCATCCACCTTGTTGGGCAGAAAGATGAGCATCGACAGACTGGAGTTTCGATACGGCAATTCGATTACTTTGGCATCCAAGTCATACAAATAATCTGCTTTAAATGTACCACGCATGGTCATCATTGTGACAGGTATGCGTTCCGTGTCGGATATTTTAAAATCTTTTTGTTCGCTGAACTCTTTGTCAAACTTGTACTTCCATTGACCTTTGAAATAAATGGCATTCAGGAGCAAAGCTCTTAGATCAGTGCTCATGTCTTCAGGGGTAACCACCTCGTTGATCTTGCCACGTGTCTGTTTCGACACCCACTGGTTTACGATGTCAGCTGCATTTTCAGCATTGCTAAGGCTGATGGGAACAGCTTCGGCCTGAAAGGAGTTTCTCAATACTTCATTATACTCGGGGACCAGACTATATTCGTTATTAATGTATATCCGGTTAGCCAAATCGAGAATCACATCCTTCTCCCGCCCCTGGAGATCGCTAAGGAGTTTTCTGTACTTGCTGGCCACCTGCTTTTTGTCCATCGGTAGTTTCAAAGCGGTTCGTAGTTCGTCAGCGGTCTCCCCTTCAGCTCCTATGTACGCCATGGCCATAGCTATCTCAACGGAGAGCGGAGAGGAAATAAGATTCTTCTGGGCATTATCCTTGGCTAAGAGTCGATAAAAGTCTTCCGTGAACAGGCCAGCCACTGACGTGGCGAACAAAATGAGACCTGATAAAAAGTTATTGTCTGGTATGACTTGGAATTGGATTTTCTACTCACTCAAGTATTTCATTTGAAATTTGATTGAAACGTTTTGAAGATACATCGGGCAAAACTCTGTATAAATACCCATTGGTGTAACCTAGTTAGATATGGAGATTGAACATGGAACATTTTCCGTAAGGAATCAATTATAGTTTTCTCAACAATTTGAAACCAAAAAGGCTAAGAGTTTAATTCGAAGCTCTTATCGTGGCGCTGAGTGAAGTGAAAGGGGTCGCCCCGCCCCGTGTGTCATATTAAAATGCGCCACACACGCCCCCTGAAATGCTATACCCATAATTGCGACACTCGGAGGAGGGACCAGACCTGGCCAGACCGATCCGACCAGACAACGATAGTGACAATTAACCGTGGCTAACTCTGTTGCGGCATGACGGGAATCTCCAGGCATATCTGTCAGCTGCTGTCGATGGTAATTTGAAACGTGAAACCGCAAAATCCAATTCCCAGACAAGAGTTCGTTCTTTGTTTCTCGGGCTTTATTTTTCGCTATCTTTTCCTCTTTTCCTGTTGTTGTCTTTTTTTTTTTTGTATGTGCTCGTCTGGGAGTTGTGCCTTCTCCTCCGCTCTGAAAACTCACATATGTGAGGGCGGCTGGAGAACCAATGCTGTTGGCTCCACACTTCATTGATTTGCCGAGTTGCTTACAAGTGCATTTAGACAATCAATTAATCGACTGCAGTGTCCCATGGTGCGATTGAGGAGTTAAGTCGGAGAGTGTCCGGCTTGATTTATGATATCGAGTGTCAGTCGAACAAGGTCCGCACATATTTGAAGTGCCTTGGATTCCCCGGTAATGTCATTAAATTGGTCTGGGGAAGTCCTACAAGTGAGGGATCAGGGCGCGGGAAATTCAAGCTCACCAGTGTGTAAACTTTATTCGGACGTAATACGAATTTAACAGCCGATTATGGCTATATAATTGTAGACATGAGCTGTTGTGCGGCTTCGCCGGACAATGTGATATATGACGTTATATAGTGTTTGCCATTAAACTTGTAAGCTGGCATTGGATTAGTAAAATTTATAATAGACTTTGTGGCTTCGAGTTCCCTTGGACTTTTTAGGCTGCTTTCGGTCAATGGAATATATTCAAAAAGTATCTAATTCTTTTCAATACTTTAAGAATAAAGACAGAGAAATTATACATTTTTTGTTATGTAATTTATACCTACATATATTCCATATTTTTTAACTGCATCTTTGAACTTTTCAGTAATGAACCTTCTTTAAAATCATTACTACAGGAGTATGCAAACCAATCTCATTCGTAAATCACTTTTATTGCATGCATAAATCCCCTCGTGCTCTCTCATTTTCATCTCGAACCAAGTAACTCCGACACCGCAACACCCCTAATACATTAAATGCAACATTTATTACTTCATCTGGCAAAGAGCTCATGGAACAACAAAAAAGTCAACTTACACCTGAGCCGGGTACAGGAAAATGATTATATCGACTTAATGTTACCCGGTGTATATTTAATAGCTTTTAAAATGAATAAAATTCAAATGAATACAATTTCATTTTAAATTTTGTTTGCAAAATCAAAAACATAAATCAAGAAACCAAGGTTTGTGCTCAATATATTATTTAATTGTATTATTAAGTGAGTGTGATAATTTTGGTTATAGAGTTATTTACAGTCTTCACAAACTCGATATACCCGTTTTGTAAATACATACCTTTGGTTAAAACTTTTCATTTTATGCTTATTGTGTCAATGCAACTGGTGGCTCAGGTGTTTCAGGTGTTTCAGGTGAGCGTGCATTGGGGCGCCACCTGGCCAAGCGCAGCAACATAAAAGTTTGGAACACCCGACATCGGAGGATGGTGGCAGCTCCTCGGAAAAGGTGAGGCGAGACGCGTTGCCATTGAAACCGCAGAAGCCATTTTTGCATTTTGGTAGCACATTCCATGGGACCCTTTGTATTGCCATTGTTGCTGGCCTCTTGTTGGGTTCTTTTTTTTAAGTGCTGCCCGGGCATATTTACCTTTTAGCTGTTCCCAGGGATGAGATCGGACGGGATGCTCCAGTCCATGCCAGTTTATACTATTCTACAACTTTCTTTTTTTTGGGGGTGCCTTGTACAAATTTGCAGCAAGCGAAAAACTTTCGCACTATTCACTTAACTTTCTGGGCAGCCGCCGCAAGTTTCACAGTACGACTCCTGTCTCCCGTCTCTCGTCTCCCGGATCCCTTCCTGGGCCCAGGAGCAGCTTCACAATAGATCATTTCAGCAGCCTTGAGGATGGGGTTGCGGGTGAATCTGCATAAAGTTCGGGGCAAGTATGGAATGGGGCAAGTATTTTCAACTCGAGTGCATTTAGTGTGAAGGCGACTTCAATTATTTTATTTGTCAGTTGAGCTCTAATCTATTAACATTCCGCTGGCTAATTGAATTTCAATCCCGGAATTTGATTTCATTCGAAGGGTAATCGTTGAGTTTAACTTGGATTTATTGAAAGTAAATGGAATTATAATTAAAGACTATACCTAATACTTGCTGAAATACAAATCAGAAAATGGAGAATATAAATGTCAATCTCACAAACTTGAAACTGAAACACATCTGAATCTCAAGAAATACTTAAAAAAGAGTAATATAGCAGCAGCTCATGAGCTTCATTAGGGTTTGGGCAATTAAGCATTTTACAATGCGGCTTCTGCTCATCCCATAATTCTCTACATTTTCGGGGAATAAACTTCATTAGAGACAAACCGAAAAAAAAGACTGAATTATTATTAATGCTTTTTCCACTTGTTCCACCCCGCCAAGAGTGCATCACATTATTTCAATTAAACTCGTCAGGGCCGGCGGACGGGTCTGCAATTAACAAAGCGACGTCTGCACTTGACTCCGCTCTGGAGAATCGGAGCCGGAGTCGGAGTTGGTTCTGGAGGAGAATGTGGAGGAGTTGATTGTGATTGTGTGTGCGGGTGTGGGTCACACTTAACATAAATATGATGTGTGGCAGCTCGAAAAATGCTGGCGGCACTTTGCCAAGTGCACACAGAAACTAATTTATAAAT